CATACATACATACATACATACATACATACATACATACACACACACACACATACATACATACATACATACATACATACATACATACATACATACATACATACATACATACATACATACATACATACATACATACATACATACATACATACATACATACATACATACATACATACATACATACATACATACATACATACATACATACATACATACATACATACATACATACATACATACATACATACATACATACATACATACATACATACATACATACATACATACATACATACATACATACATACATAAATACATACATACATACATACATACATACATACATACATACATACATACATACATACATACATACATACATACATACATACATACATACATACATACATACATACATACATACATTCATACATGCCTGCCTGCCTGCCTGCCTGCATGCATGCATGCATACATACATACATACATACATACATACATACATACATACATACATACATACATACATACATACATACATACATACATACATACATACATACATACATACATACATACATACATACATACATACATACATACATACATACATACATACATACATACATACATACATACATACATACATACATACATACATACATACATACATACATACATACATACATACATACATACATACATACATACATACATGCATGCATGCATGCATGCATGCATGCATACATACATACATACATACATACATACATACATACATACATACATACATACATACATACATACATACATACATACATACATACATACATACATACATACATACATACATACATACATACATACATACATACATACATACATACATACATACATACATACATACATACATACATACATACATACATGCATGCATGCATGCATACATACATACATACATACATACATACATACATACATACATGCATGCATGCATGCATGCATGCATACATACATACATACATACATACATACATACATACATACATACATACATACATACATACATACATACATACATACATACATACATACATACATACATACATACATACATACATACATACATACATACATACATACATACATACATACATACATACATACATACATACATACATACATACATACATACATACATACATACATACATACATACATGCATGCATGCATACATACACACACACACACACACACACACACACACATACATACATACATACATACATACATACATACATACATACATACATACATACATACATACATACATACATACACACACACACACACACACACACACATACATACATACATACATACATACATACATACATACATACATACATACATACATACATACACACACACACACACACACACACACACACAGACAGACAGACAGACAGACAGACAGACAGACAGACAGACAGACAGACAGACAGACAGACAGACAGACAGACAGACAGACAGACAGACAGACAGACAGACAGACAGACAGACAGACAGACAGACAGACAGACAGACAGACAGACAGACAGACAGACAGACAGACAGACAGACAGACAGACAGACAGACAGACAGACAGACATACATACATACATACATACAAACATACATACATACCTACCTACATACATACATACATACATACATACATACATACATACATACATACATACATACATACATACATACATACATACATACATACATACATATCTTTCCAACCTTTTAACACAGACATGAGAGTCCGTGTCTCATCCACTCTTCACCCAGCCCTGACTTCATTACCTCTTTAAAATCCCGAGTGAATTTCGCATACAATCTGCATGTACATTTCTGTTATGAATGTATGTATGGATGCACATTACATAACGGAAAGGTTGGAGAGTAATGATAACTAGTGACTAAACGTTAGAAATTGTATAACGAGGGTGATATGATGACAATAAAAATAATAAAAACAATACATTCTGGTGGTAGCGATAAAAATAGAAGACAAATTACTAGTAGCATCAGCAGCATTAGTCGTCGTAGTAGTATTAGTAATAGCAGCAGCAGCAGTAGTAGAAGTAGTTTCCAAGCGAAAGCAGCAAAGCAGAGGTAGTATTATCTTAAGTATTATCAATGGCAACGTGAGATCAAGAATTAGCAAATTTGCGAAAAAACAAACTTTATTTTTAAAGAGTCCATAACTGGGCACACAGGCCTGCCATAAATACAGCCTACTAAACATTTACCTCTTACAAAGTAACCATATTTTATATGCAAAGCATGATATGTTTATAAAACAATATACATAATACGACTTTTAAGTAAAATACTCAGAAGCATGAGTACTTCATGCCTATAAAGGGATCACACACACAAGCATGCATACATACACATACTTTCATACATTATACCCGTGCAGAAACTCAATTTTTACACGCACACGCATACATATACACTATCACACACACACAAACAGACCAAGAACATTGACATAAAGAAGAAGATAAACAAAGCTGACAAGGATAGTTTTGTCTTACATAATAGTCCAGCCTTTCTTCGGGCTTTCTATTTAATCATCATCGTATATGTCGCATGGAACACACCAGGCAATTTGCATGAACGGTAGTAGATTCGATCCCAGCTGCAAGCGATTTTGGCAGGAAAGCATCTTGCGTTTGTGGAACCGAGAGCTGAACGTTTACAAATCAATAGTGAAACTACTACACATAAAATATCCCCCCCCCCCCCTCACACACACACACACAAATATTTCTGGGGTTTGCTTTGCAACGACCTGTAAAGGACACGTATTTAACTTAACACTTAACAGAACACTGACCGAACCACGATATACACTAATACACTCTATGTCTACATGGATGCAACATGCAATTTCAGCCCGACTGCGCACATACATCTCAAGGCCTGAGGGCCTTAAGGCAGCTGTACCAACAGTGGTGTCGAAAATCCAGACCACAATCTGCAACTAAATACTTATTGAAATATACCGAATACCGAACATTATGACCTCACACAAGTCTTCACCCCCTCCACCATCCCCTCTTCTCCTTCTACCATGTAGCAGGGTGACCAATAAATTTGATTAGGATGCAAGCGGACGAAAATTTGGCCAACCCGGTGACTAGAAGTTTGCAAAAGAGTTTTTTTCGCGAAAGAAGACATTTTTTTAGCGTTTCATCATCTGGACCGACCCGTCACACTTAGCATAGGGTGCTGAGACGAGGGATGGGTTGGCTCGTTGCCTTGATAGCGTTGGTAGTGCAGTTCAGTAATTAAATGTGCTAGATGTAAACTTCTATCATAATTAGATCTGAATTTGTCTTAAGTAGTTTGATTGTGTGTCAGACCTAGATTTCTATTGTGTATCCTCGCTCATTGATAATTTTTATTACAGGTTGCTGGAGACGATTTACTGATCTGGTGGTATTTTTGAGCTTAAACTCACATGTTAATATGTTTAGATTGTTGCCATCACTGATGTAATTTTTTTAACGTTCTCGTACATTATCCTATTTCCTTGTAATGAGTAGCACATGGTCTGGTCGAGCACGTTGAAGGTTCTTAATGTAGTGTTACAGGTGAAGCAACGATAGTTTTGTGTTCAGGAAACAGATAATCAATGTGATGATTATAATTCAGGATATAATATAAATGATTCAAGATATAACTTGCATTTCGTGCACGTGATCTGACTAGGCATTGCCTACTTAGTAATGTGTTGTTGGATTGTTGTGTAGCTCATTATTCACATATCCTTTGCCTGGATTTTGATTAATATTTCATGGCCCTTGCACAAAGAACCCCCTGTCTTTTTTTACTGTCATGCTTTTGCTGTTCACTGGGGAACTACCTTTTTGCCCTTGTTCATTTTCATTTTTCTTATCTCCCTTCTTCTTTGTTTTTACTGTTTTCTTTTTTCCCGCTAGCACACCCAGTTACAACCGAAACTGTAGAATCTGAATACACGTGTCCTCGTCAGCCAGTGTGACACAAAGAGGCATTGCACCGACCCCACTATACACGGGTCAACACCTTATACCGTCTATTCTAGAATATCTAAACTTACAGCATTCTGACTTCTGAAACTCCAGATTCAGCCGGACAGTCCATGACTTCCACCAGGTTGAACAGAAAAAAAGCGTTCTTCGGAAACACCTGTCACATGACACGACTATAGGTTCCCCCTATTTCACTAACAGAGCGCTACTAAATCAGACTACCACTGAGCTTCTACCAAAGGTCTGTTTCATGTGGATCTCTCCATCCCATCGCAATACCAATACCAGTGGTGTCGACAGTTACCTGTGATTTTCAAGAAACACATGTTTTACAAACCTCCAGTGCCCAAAACATCTACATTCATCTCGTCAACAGTATAATGATTATCAGTGTTTAATGTTGACTTAAGAATCGACATTACAGCACTCAGGACACTGCCATAACCGATAGGTCCCCATCTTCGGCAGCAGGTGAAAAGTTCAAGTTGCGAAGTGACCAATAACTGTGTGACTGAATATCCGTCTCACCATTCTCTTGAGTGTTGAGTGTCGGCCTGATAGTCTTGTAATACCTCGCAGTCAAATAAATATCAGTTTGTACTATCACACCCGCTGACACTTAGCATACTTGCATGCTAATGTGAGGTGGCAGACAATGATATACTTGAGAGTGTGTTGTGAGCACAGCAATAAATCGTAGATAAAAAGCCTTGTGGCGTAAAAAACATGTATTTGTTAAACGCGAAAATCGTCAGAAATATTTTTACATTGGAAAAAGATTTGATCGTTGATTCCAGATTAGGACGTCATTACCGTAAGTGCTTAGTCTCTACCAGCAGATGTCTTGAGCAAGCTAGTCCGTATGTGTGGGAACTACAGTGAAGATATTGGAGCACTGCTGCAAGCAAAAAAGGTAATTAATTAATTAACTAATCTACTTGATTTGTAATAAAATCTGCATTTTTATAAGGTGTGATATCAAAAACTTTGGCGCCAGTGTATTCATCTCTTGTGTCATTAAAGATTTTCTCCTCAAGGCAGCCGATGACAACTCTGTCTTCTTCGAGAAAAAATTTGTTGGCAAACATCATAGGGGATCTCCCTAGCAGTGGCAAATCTCCTGAAAAAGAGATGAATTCACAACTTTGGAATGATAATAACAAATATGCGTGCGATGATGAAGCTAAAGACGTACGATGCATGGTTAAAACGGGTATTATCACTGTTTCTTCATCTGTTTCATGTTGACAGGCTGTAAACTCCAGTGGAAAGTTCTGGTTGTTCGTCCACCTCTAGACTTTAGTCTTGTTCCAGAACCAAAGTGTTGCGTGCACATCCGTTCCACGGGTCTGGGCGATCTTGTATGCAGATTGTTGGTTCCTGGCCTGATGCACTCTGAATTTGAAAGAAACCCCCAGTTAGTCGACAGTTACGACATGTTTCATGGCGAGGGGGGGGGGGGGGGGGGACATGAGTCTATTCTTGTTTTTCCCACAAAAGGGCCCCAGAACCCACACAGAGGATCACCATTCTAAGAGACAAACAAGCCCACATTGTGTAGAGACTCCATAGCGCAAGAACTTCATGCCATTGTAAGTACAGACAAGAGTTCCGCATGATACTGTATGTACAGACCAGAGTTCCACATGATACTGTATTTACAGACCAGAGTTCCACATGATACTGTATGTACAGACCAGAGTTCCACATGATACTGTATGTACAGACCAGAGTTCCGCATGATACTGTATGTACAGACCAAAGTTCCGCATGATACTTTATGTACAGACCAGAGTTCCGCATGATACTGAATGTACAGACCAGAGTTCCGCATGATACTGTATGTACAGACCAGAGTTCCACATGATACTGTATGTACAGACCAGAGTTCCGCATGATACTGTATGTACAGACCAGAGTTCCGCATGATACTGTATGTACAGACCAGAGTTCCGCATGATACTGTATGTACAGACCAGAGTTCAGTGTTTTTGTTTTGTTTTTGTTTAACCATTTTAACAGTTAAATTTCCCATCACCTAACTAATGTCGCAATGGCTTAAGGAAATCAGTCTCAACCAAGAGTCCAAGGACACACAATAAAATACATTAAAAGAACACAGAACAAAAGCGTCCCTTAGATAGTTTGTAAACTGAAGACATGTAGTTTCCTGTCTTTTGCTAGTTGCATATCTTATTTTAGTTTCATATTGCCTTTCTGTAATGTCTCTGTCACTCCCTTCGTCCATGTCTTTCTTTGTCTACCTATTGACCTGTAGACCGCTGTTTTTATAAGGTATGCTCAAGCTGCTGGCAGAGTTTATTATATTCTGAACAGATGATCAAACCATTTGACTCACTCACTGATGCACTGTGAAATCATGTACTGGTACTATGTCTACCATTGTTCTTAGTTCTTCTTTGGTGACCCTGTCCCGTGTTTTTCCTGCCACACTTCTTATACATATCATCCTAGTGTATGCGTTTACCTTTGACCATAACCCTCCATGTCTAGTATGCGTTAGTAGCACACAGTACATCCAGTTTGAGTTAGAAGTTGTCCAAGTCATAACTGTCTGACATTGAAAGAATTACAGCATGAAGAACCTACGGCACAGCATTTGCAAGCTAGTTAATGTTATAATTTTAAGATCGGGCATTGTTTCCATTACACCTTATAGGTGTGGGTGTTTGACTCCTATTCAGACTTTGAAGAAAGAAAGGGAGCTTTTAAACTTAAATGCTACAGAAAACTTCTTAGAATACCGAGGACCAGGAAGAAGAAAAGATCGACATCATATCCGAAAGCTAATTTACTTTGAGTATCTTAAACGTCATCGTGGATTAGGAGAAAACGATGATGGAGGATGCAGTTTCCTGAGAAAGATGCAGAGGTGGACCTCTGCGAACGTGGATAGAGGGCATTGAAGATGCACTGGCTATGAAAACACACGTGACTGGTGGAGAATTTACTAGAGAAAGAGAAACTTGCAGACGTGCCGTTCGACAGCGACGTTCTGTGAAGAACTTGCAGATATTAAAGAAACTAGCGAACTGACCTGTTGTAAGAATACAAATCTCCCTCACACGTCGACCAGCGCAGGGAGTTCCACCCCAGTTCTTAAATCTTGCAAATGATCCTCTAGTAGCGTTGTATTCTGGCAGTCCTGATGATGACGCAACAGACATGTAGACAAATGCAAACAACGGAAAACTCACTACGATCATAACTTAATTTTCATAGGAATCGACATGCAATTGGTTTATTATGACCTAATATCTAAAGGCGAATAGTTACTTTGTGTGTGTGATGTTCTAAGTAAAGTAAAGATCCCTTTTCACGCCTTTAGGTGCATCGGGAATATGAGAAGAGCACCCATATTTTTACAAGCCAATCGGCTCTAGGTGGGTAATGTGGTCAGCATTACGC